GCCTCAAGAGGTAGACGAAGCCCTTACAAATTATCCCAAGGAGTAAAGGACTTACCAAACTTAAGTGCTTTTGCGCAGTGACACCGATGTAAACCTTGTAACTTTCTAGCGTTGTGGTGACTAGATACGAAGGACCTCCCCCGCCCTCTCAGGACTTAGAGTGGTCTACCGAGTGTGCAGGGTCTGAGGTGGGGATCCATCGGCCTTCTGGGGTTGCCGTTTGATGGGTTCATCTGGCTAAGCCGTGGATCTAGCGTTCCTTTATTATGTCAGTCAGAGTGTGGAATCATACTTTCCACTTCGAAGTAAAGTTCGGTAAGTTTCACTCGGCCAGCAGGAGCCGTTGTCTTCCCACTGCACCTCAGCGGCCCAGCTTGTCACCGTTATTAGAAAAATCTCATAGTCCTAATTACTACATTATGATTAGCAAATCCATCCAGGGGGTTGGTTTCCTAGGAGATGAGAGATTGAGTTGGTAAAATTACCTCTTCTCCACAGGACACTTGGACAATTAAAAATCTTACCTGTACCCTGCTCACCTCTCCCTCGACTCAGTTACAGTGATCATCGTGCCAATTAAACCTTAGCGTCCTTTGTAAGTCACTTTATGTGAGGCAGGGGCACTGACCAGCTATCCTGGTTTTTATCATTTTTACTATTTTACCCAGTGCTATTTGGGGACATGTCTCTACAATGTAAGAGCAAATATAATCTTAATAAAATCAATGAAATACCAGCGTCTATTAGTACTCTCCTGGTGAGTAAAAATAAATTTAAATTTTATGCATTCCCTAGTAGATTCCCTTTATTATCATAACTAGGCTTGGAGTACCTACTTTAGAGTATAGTTCCAAACTCGTGAGCTTTCAGATGTGCCTTTCTTCAGACAAATGTAATTCTGAGGTTCAAATGGTGACTTCTTTGTCCTCTAAGCTGGGCCCTTGTTCCAGGCAATGCCACTTGATCCCTTAGAAATGCACTTTTCCCAGGAGCCATAGAATTCTCTTGTTTTCATGTGTCAGGACATCAAATCCCCATCACCTCCAAGAATCTTTGGCTCCAACTAAGGGCCAACACCAGGAACCTGGGATTGGTGCATCTGAGCCAGAAGTTTCCAGAACGACTGTGCTCAGGACCACCTTGGAGGCTGATAGAGCTGGAAAAATAATTCCTTCTCGAGATTATGAGTTCAAAATATTTTTTTCTAATTAAACACAGTCTTAGTCAGTGTCGTATTACTATGAAGAGACACCATGACCAAGGCAACTCTTGTAAAGGGAAGCATTTAACTGGGGCTGGCTTACGGCTTCAGAGGTTTAGTCTGTTATGAGTATGGCGGCATATAGGTAGACCTGGTGCTGGAGAGGTAGATGGGAGTTCTACACCTGGAGCCATAGACAGTAGACAGTAGGGAAGAGGGGAGAGAGGGCGGGGGAGAGAGAGACTGGGACTGGCTTGGGCTTTTGAAACCCCAAGTCCACACCAGAGTGACACACTTCCTCCAACAAGGCCACACCTCCTAATTCCTCTCAAGTAGTGCCTTTCCCTGATGACCAAACATTCAAATATATAAGCCCATGAGGGTCATTCTTATTCAAATCACTACATACATTATGCTAATACAACTTAACATATCTTAGAGATGCTGTTTTACAGACTTGACCATAGACAGCCCTCCACTATCTATTAAGATGGTTGTTCCACAAATGCTTGATAAATCATATTGAATTTAAAAAAAAAAAATCATCTGCTTCAAAGTGAGGTTTCCTGTCATCCCATTACCCCAATACAAGGCTTACTGATGACTCAACCACCATCACCACATGCCCGTCAACCCCAACCCACACCACCTGTTCCTCGAAGTTCACAAGCAGAATGGAAACGTTTCATCACATAGCTGACCTCCTGCTGGAGTGTGGACAGAAGCTAGTCCAGAATCAAAAGTTACCACACAACCCCTGCTCATCTCCCTGCCTGGAGTGACTCACACTCTTTTTTGTCCTCAGATTGCCACTAAGATACCCAGGACAGTTGTTCGGACCCCACCCATAGTCAAACCCTTCACTGGCCTTCCTTTTCTCTCACCCAGATGCTTTATTGTTTTTTTGGTTTTTGTTGTTGTTGTTTTGTTTTTGTTTGTTTTTATCTTGTTCCAGTTGTTTTGCTTTTGTTTGATTTGGTTTGGTTTTTTTTTTTTTTTATTGTTTTGAGTCTACTCCTTTAGGTAACAACATCAACAACGTCATGAGCAATGACAGATTACTTCTGAGTCCTTCTAGGGCGGTGGGGGCAGGGACCCCTTGTCCCCTCAATCTCACCACAAGAGAACAGTTAAATGTTTTGATGCCGAGCGGAAGGCTGGTAGGAAATGGGAAGGAAGGACCATTCTCCTTGCAGTCTGTATTTCTTTTCTCATCGCCGTGACAAAGCATCTAACGAAAGCAGATTAAAGAAACTGGCTCACAATCTGAGTCTATCATGGCAGGAAAATCACGGGAGGTTGAAGCCTGAGGCCGCTGTTCACGTTGCAGCCACACTCGGGAAGCAGAGGGATAAATACTGTTTCTCGGCTCACCTCCTCCTACGTCTTCAACACCCCAGTCCATGGGACAGTGCTGCCCACATTCAGAAAGGGGTCTTTCTCTCCTCAGCTAACCATTCTCATAGAAACATCCAGAAGCATATTTCCGGTGATGCTAAATCCAGCCGAGTGACGATGAAGACGAACCATCATCACCCACCTAGGGGAGAATTCTTAAGGGATGTACAGAAATGCCAACTCTCCTCCTAAGAAGAGAACTTCGTCTGTTTCTAAACAGTTTGTACTTTAGAAGTGACACTTGGAGGACTACACGGTGAATATGCCAGGAGTGGTATCATGTGCAAGGTATAATCTGGACCAGAAACGGTAGGGGAGCAAGTGATGGACACAGAGAGAGATGGGGGAATTTCAAAGCTAGCTAAAATGGAAGCTCAGTCAAGGACGGAGATGAATGGGATATGGAGAAGGGGGGATGAAGGCTAAGGCATGTCTTCGTTCTTCAGTGAGAGTTGCTAAGGAGTGCTGGCCCTGTGCTCTGCACTGAAGACACCTGAGGAGGTATAGAAGTGAAGCAAAGCCCGGGCTTACGGTTAGTCTTCTTAGGCAATGGAACCTTCAGGTTCGGTATAGAGGACAAACCAGATACTAAGATATGGATGTGTGATCATCTTCGGGATTAGGTGTCATGAGGTGACTACTGATAATGTAGGACAGAGACAAAGTGGCAAGCCTGGCAGACATAGGAAAATTTTGAACCCCAGATAACGAGGCCGGAAGTTACTGTGTGGCCAAGAAATAAGAGCACTCTACTTGGTAGAAAAAAACACTGTAGTTTCATATTTGTTGTTTTAATTAGTTTCCTTATATTCAATCTCATTCTTACAGAGAAGGTTGAAAAGATGTTAAATTACAAGATAATTTTGTAAGACCCAAAATAGATAGGAGAGGAAGGATAAACAAGAAAGCAAGGTGAGACAGTTTGTGAAACTAAGCAAAGTAAGCGTGCTAAGCACAGGCACTAGGCGGTCATGTGCACACTCTGTGTCTCAAATTCATTTCAAAGCTGTAGGGCAGCCAAAGCCAAAAGGAAAATGTTACTGAATTCAAGAGTCCCAGTGAAACAAGAATGTTCAAAGTCCAGGCTGGGGACGTAGTTCAGCTTTAAGAGCACTTGCTTGCCCAGCGTGTGCAAGCCCTGGTTGCCAAGCCCAGCCTTCCTGGAGCAAAAGAAAGGGAATGACCATAGTTCCAATGTTCCTGAGGAAAGTAGAATCACCTGTTATTGCAGTCTAAATGGAATATTTCCCAAAGGTCTGGTAGGCTGTAGTTGGCAGCGGCTTATTGCTACACCAAAGCGCAGTAAGTGACTTTCAGCTTTCCTATGACTTCATACAGCATCCTCATTGCTGAACCTCTACATCCCTCTCAGCAGAAGCAGTTAAAAAGACAAAGCAGTGTGGGCCGCGTATGCAATTCTATGACGATCCGGCTTAATCTGGGGCTGGATTTGGAGCTATGGAAGACCTGGCAGGCTCTCAGCAATCCCCTAAGAACTGTAGTTCTCACAACTGAGCTTTCCATAAGGATCAAACAGCAAAGCTCAAGGTCAAGGCATCTGGCCACAACTAGAGTACAGATATCCTGGGGCCGATCTATAATACATAGTGTGTGTGTGTGTGTGTGTGTGTGTGTGTGTGTGTGTGTGTGTGTGTGTGTGTATCTCCTAAAAAGGAACATTCTCTTCATATATCCTCTTCATCAGACGTTGTCTTCTGGAAGCTAGAGACTGAGTACGCCGCACCTGACGAGAGGACCTTTGTACTTCTGCAGCAAAGGCAAGCTCCTGCCTCAGCAAGTGAGTCTGCAGATTCTGCACAAAATTAATGGCCAATAAAGCCTCCCCATCCAGGCTGGCCGTGTTTCATGGCAGCTAGGGATTCTGAGAGCGTTACATTCAGGGTGAATATTTGTTCTGTGCCCTTGGGGCTCTAAATAAAGAAGGAACATAGGAAAACTAGGGCTAAAGGAAGTAGGAGGAAAACTCCAGCCAATAAACCACATACATATTGAAATATATTTAATAGTAAGATGATGGCTTCAAAGTGAGGGGAAGGAGTTGCCCAGTTTGTCACTGAAAACCAGAGAGCAGAGCACCCTCATTAATTCATGTCATGAGGAATTATCTCCTTTATTGCTGCAAGCTACACACAGTCTACTCTTGGAGGGGAGCCCCTAGGCAGCATGTGCTGCTCCTGCGGCTGGCTTAACCCAGACTGAAACCGGAAGGAAGTTCAGGAAAGTCTATTAGACAGGAATGCAAGTTGCATCCTTTTATACTGTTTTATAAATAAAACTTAATTGTTCAAAAATCTAATGAGTTACTAGCTGGCCCCTTAAAACCCACTGTCGGATGGGGACAGAAAGCTCATTCCTAGTCTTCTCTGACAGACTGTGGGACGTGGCTGAGGGGAGGGTGACCTAGCTGAGATAGCGAGCTACTGGCTGCTGCCCCTCGAGTTAGGAAGAAGGATCGTGTGTCACAATGGGAGTGAGGAGGATGAAGGTGTCCGGTGTCTCCACTCCTCAAACTTCAACTCAAGTGGACTAAGCTATCGGCTCTGCTGTGCCTGACAATGGTCTTGCCCTCTGGAGTCCTCTGCCTGCTCTTAGTGACTGTTTCCAATTTTAGGCAGGAAATCCCAGGGCACGTCAGAAAACTCATTTGATTCAGGGCAAAAGCAATGATAGTGCAATAGAAATGGTATGGTTCTGGTCATTTCCAAGTGTAACAAGGTCCGCGAGGCTGCATTAGGAGCCGACCTGTTTACAGCCAAAGCACGGTTGCATCAGTTCCACATGACTGAGTAGGCTGCACTCTCAGTGAGAAGAACCTTCTTCCACTACTGCAGTTCTCAATCTGCAACAAAAAAAATTGATGTCCATACTCACCAGCACGAATACATTAGCCCCAACCGCATGCCCAAGATGTCAAGCAACTGATCGTGCACACGCAACATATTCCTGTGTCTTTCACCTCTGTGTGGGTGTCATAGTTAGGAATACAAGGAACATTCCTAAACACAATAAAGGCAATTTACAGCAAGCCAACAGCCACCATCAAATTAAACGGAGAGAAACTCAAAGCGATTCCACTAAAATCAGGAACAAGACAAGGCTGTCCACTCTCCCCATATTTATTCAATATAGTACTAGAAGTTCTAGCTAGAGCAATAAGACAACAAAAGGAGATCAAAGGGATACAAATTGGAAAGGAAGAAGTCAAACTTCCACTATTTGCAGATGATATGATAGTATACATAAGTGACCCCAAAACTCTACCAGGGAACTCCTACAGCCGATAAAACTCCTTCAGTAAAGTGGCAGGATACAAGATCAACTCAAAAAATCAGTAGCCCTCCTATACACAAATGATAAAAGGGCTGAGAAAGAAGTCAGAGAAACACCACCCTTTACAATAGCCACAAATAATATAAAATACCTTGGGATAACACTAAACAAGTGAAGGCCCTGTTTGATAAGAACTTTAAATCTCTAAAGAAAGAAATTGAAGAATATATCAGAAAAAAGAAGGATCTCCCAAGCTCATGGATAGGTAGGATTAACATAATAAAAATGACAATCTTACCAAAAGCAATCTACAGATTCAATGCAATCCCCATCAAAATCCCAACACAATTCTTCACAGACTTGGAAAGAAAAATACTCAACTTCATATGGAAAAACAAAAGACCCAGGATAGCTAAAAGAATCCTGTATAATAAAGCAACTTCTGGAGGCATCACCATCCTGGACCTCAAACTCTACTATAGAGCTATAGTAATAAAAACAGCTTGGTACTGGCATAAAAACCAACATACAGACTAATGGAATCGAATTGAAGACCCTGACATTAATCCACACACATATGAACACCTGATTTTTGACAAAGAAGCCAAAACTATGCAATGGAAAAAAGAAAGTATCTTCAACAAATGGTGCTGGCATAACTGGATGTCAATATGTAAAAGATTACAAGTAGATCCATAGTTAGGGTTTCTATTGCTGTGAAGAGACACCATGACCACGGCAACTCTTATAAAGGAAAAACATTTACTTGGGGTGGCTTACATTTTCAGAAGTTTAGTCCATTATCATCATCACGGTGGGACATGGTGGCATGCAGGCAACAGGGAAATGAACTGAAACACTGGGCATGACTTGAGCACATATGAGACCTCAAAGCCTGCCTCTGTAGTGACACACTTCCTCCAACAAGACCACACCTACTCCAACAAAGCCATACCTCCCAACAGTGCCACTCCCTTTGGAGGCCGTTTGATTTCAAACCACCACTGTGTGTGTGTGTGTGTGTGTGTGTGTGTGTGTGTGTGTGTGTGTGTGTGTGTGTGTGTGATTGGTGGCTTGAGTATATACACATTTATGTGGAGACGTGTGCATATCATGTGGGTGCAGGTAGAAACCAGAAGCCAACACTGTGTACTCTTCGATCACCCTACACCTTTATTCTTTGAGTCTCTCACTGAAACTGAACCTGTGACCAGGGAGCTCCTGGGGTCCACCTGCAGCACTAGGACTGCATGGGCATGCTACTGCAACTGGTTTGGGGTGTACGCTCTGGGGATCTGAACCTAGGGCCTCAAGCTTGTTGAGCTGACACTCTTCTGGCTGTACCATCTCCCCAGCTCCCTTTTTATTTTCTTAGAAAGAACAATGGTGACACTCGTTAACAACTGCTCAGACCTGGACTTTCCAAATATCAGCAGGCACTCTGACAGCGAGCTTAGCTTGGTTGCAAGCAACAGAAATAGAATTTCTAAACTTAAATGGTAACTTAAGTAAAAGAGAACATTCTAGAAATCCGTTAGGCTTCTCATAAGACACAAACAGGGCCATTTTATTATCTTTTTATAATGACTCTTGGTGATTGCACATAGGCAAGCTGCTTGGTGACATTCAGAAGCTTCCCAGCAATGAGCTTTCCTGACTGGTTGGTAGTTCTCAGTAATGACCATGAGTCACTTGTATGAAATCACTCTCAAATCCAAAGGACCGCATTGGTGCACCCTGCTGGAAGGGTTGTTGACAACCTGGACATTTCCCCCATGTGACCATGTCTCCTTGTGTCCTAAGGCAGGACTACATAAGGGCAAAGTTGAGAACAGCCTATCCCAACTGTGAAATAAGAATTAAATCCTAGGGAGCAAGGAGCCAGGAGATGGTTCACTGGGTCAAGCAGATGTGAGGGCCGACATTTGGATCACCAGCATCCAGATAAACACTAGGCAGGCATGGCAGCCTGCCTGTAGCCCCAATGCATGAGAGGTGGATCATGGGATCCCCAGAGCAAGCTAACTAGTGAGACTAGGCAAATCATCAAGCACTGGGCTCACGTGGCAGAACTTGACCTAATATTTTAGGTGGAAAGCAATCAAAGAAGGCACCAAACATCACCCTTGGCTTCCACACATGTCCATACACCCATGCTCCCTTGTGTGCCTACACGCATGTGAATATACATGAGTGCACATCACATACACATGCAAATAAATAAAAGTGTTCGCTTTTTTAAATAAAGAATCAAAATCTATAGTGATAGGTAAACCAAATCAATCTTGTTTGGTCCTATCTGTCAAACAGGAAGTCTAGTCATAGTCATTTTTCCTTAGTAGAAGCAGAGCTGGAAGGCTTATGAAGTGGTTCATAAACTGTGAAGGTGGCCATGGCATTGACTTTACCTTTAACCCTTCTACTTAGGGCCAGTGTTCTGAGAGGGCTGCAGCAGGCGGGAGACAGCATCCCCTCCTTCCACCGACGTGTCTTGCCTCATTTTGTATATGGTGCGGTGTGGTTTCGATAGTAAGTCTTTACTGCCCACATATAACACGAGCGTGGTTTCCTCCAGCAACATTGCTTCTTGTTTGCCTGCTGGGGTGAAATCCATCACCATTTTATGGTACTCCATAAATCCCATGGTGTAAGCAAAGAGCACAGTTTGTCCAGAGGCTCTATCACCCAGATTAGCTTGCTCAGCGCCGCTGGCTGCCTGTAATGCACGGAATGCCTTTGCTGCTGTGGTGGGCTTCACAGCCGCGCATTCTCTTGCAGCTGTTACTTCTGTTTGACCGCTTAATCTTGAACCTACGATGCATTGCTCATAAAACCCCTCAGCCCCTCGTCAGTCCTCCTTAAATTCCTTCTCTACCGGAGAACATGAGGGCAATGTAGAGGAGACTTTGTGGTTTAGGACATTTGGGTCACTTAAGGAAATCAGGTCGCTTTAATTAATGTTAAGACTCTAGATCCATTATGCAGAAACCAGTTCCAAGCGTGTGTGTGTGTGTGTGTGTGTGTGTGTGTGTGTTTCTGTGTCTGTGTATATGTCTCTCTGTGTGTCTATCTGTGTATGTGTTTGTGTGTGTCTGTGTATATGTCTGTGTGTGTATTTGTGTATATGTCTGTGTGTGTCTGTGTATGTGTCCGTGCATTTGTGTGTATATGTGTCTCCGTGTGTGTATTTGTATGTGTCTATATGTAACCGTGTTGAGGGTGCCAAGGGTGGTACAGACGTTAAACTGCACAATGTGAACTTAAGAATGAGTCATCCTTACACATTATCAGATACCTTGATTATCTTTACTAGAAAACTTGGTCTTTCTTGTTACAACGAGAAACAAGAATTAATTATAAATAATCTCCAAAGAAACAATAGCAGTGCTACCATTTAGCCGGGAGCCAAACAAATTGTAGTTTCTCCCAAGTACAGATTCAGGTTGGGACAGGAATGGTGACGTACGAAATGTAAGGAGACTCGGGAAGAGATACAGGAAAGTGGGCACACCCACAGTCTTCACAGTTTTGTCAAGATCCTGTGCTGTTCCTCCTTTACAGTCCTCTCCAGAACGGGTTCTCTAGGCTCTAGAGTGGATGAAGAAAGAAGCATCCACTGGCTTCCTGCACAGGCCAGATTCTATTCTTCAACTGAATCAAAGCAGCGTACACTAAGTTATAGACAAGCCAGAGAGGTAAAGAGCAGCTCTAGCCATCAAGGGGTGGTTAGTTACTTGGAGGACTACAGAATACACACAGAAAGCACTGGTCTTCAGTAAGTGCCCAGGGAAGAGAACGACAATAGTGGTCTGTGGAGAAGAGACCACACCATCCTGTGTGGTGGCATTGTCAGGATCGGATAGACCGGTTTAGGAAAGTGCCGTGAAGATTTGAGGATTTGGGCCTTGAACGTGAGCAACAATTCTTGGCTGAAGGTCAGTGTTCTCTTAACAAGTTCATGAATGGAGATTTGCGGGTCAGTGAACCCTCTGGATTCGCAATTCCTGGGATGAGGTTTCAGGGCTTACATCAGATTGGAAAGGTGAAAAACCACTCCCTATACGCAATTGCATAAGCAATAAGGAAAAGGATTGTAAGTAGGCTGCCAGTAGATAAGAAAATGTTGGGGAAAGGAGCAAAACATGTTTAAATAGAAGTGGTGGCCCCATATCCACATAGGGAATGTCAAGAGATTAAATTGGGAAAACAAGGAGATTTAAAAAAAAAAAAAAGACTTAACTGTCAGGATTAGCCTGTGGGCTCTGTTCAAGGGAACGACAGGGCAACCTGGGCTTTAAGATGGTTAAGCTGACGACTCTGTGCATGAGATAAAGGGTAGTGAGCCTGACGTCATAAAGAACGTAAGTCCAGGGATGAGGTCAAGAAAACAAGCTGAGCTGGTGGCTGTAGCAGGGAATAGATATGTGGGACTCAGGAGGTACTTTGAGGAAAACAGCTAAAATGCAGTAACTTTAAATGTTAAGTGGTTTGGGATAAGGTGGAGGAAAAAAGACCAAGATTAACTGAGAAGCCCTAGTCTGCCTGACTTATATGTAGCAATGAGGAATCCTGGAGTCTTTGTTCCAGCATTTGCTGTGCCCAAGAAGAGTATCAGAGACATCCCTGGTCTTGCTCTTCCCGCCCAGAGCCTTCTAGCCTGGACGACTGATCCCATCTAACTTCTGGGGATACTCAGCATTGTTGGTTAGCTGGAGGCTGTGACATTTTTGTTTGTTATTAGCAGTCCTTCTCCGAATGACGTTACCACGGTGTGATAAGGAGACAAGCAAGGACATGAACATTCCACATAGATAAAAGCAGCCTGGCTTTCCGGGTGCTCACAGCGCGTCAGCTTCATTAGGCTCCGTGGTGTTTCATTAGAGCCAATGTCATTTAAGATTTTATGCTCACTTCAAGGCTATTTGTTTTGACAAAGGATTCTTTAAAAAGGCAGTCAGAACTTTCTGGGTTTTATTTAACTTTATAACCATCTAATTTACTCCCCAATAAAGAGATAACTAAGCATTCCTGTTACGTCGCTAAAACACTCTTTACATAATCTTGAAATACAATGTAAGATTCTCCAAGGAGGAAATTAGTGCCGAGGAAATGCTGACCCAGCTATCTAGGTTTGGTGCCAAGGTCTAGGGACTGCACTCTTCCCTCATGAACACACGCATGCTCTATAACTCTGAAAGGTGCTTTCTTCCATTGATATGCTGGTACTTCTCTGAGAAAGTGAGACTCTGACCCTGGCACACACACGGCAGGAAAGGAGTTCCCCCAGAGGCAGCAGTCAGGAGTAACTGTGATTAACAATGTGTTGGGTGACTCAGGGCTAGGAAAGACTGCGGGTGTGGGCTTGGAAGATTTGTCCTCGGCTGGGTTTGGTGACGCGCGCCTTTAATCCCAGCACTTCGTAGGCAAGAGGCAGGTGGACCTCCGTTCGTCTTGAAGCCAAGACTACCTAGTGAGTTCCAGGACAACCAGAGCTACATAGTAAGATCCTGGAGAATGAGAAAGAGAGAGAGAGAGAGAGAGGGAGGGAGGGAGGGAGGGAGGGAGGGAGAAAAGGATAGAATTTGCTCTCTTTTCTCCCAAAGATGACTCTAATAGATTCAAGTAGGTCACTGTGTCTGATTTACCATCTCATAATTCAACCACTGTTCAGCCTAGCATATTTGTTCCATATTGTTCTCTGCTACCTAGGATTTCCTCCCTGTCTGTCTAGGTACAGCTGGTCTCAGAGCTAACTTAAATCATGCCTGTCCCCTGGACTTCCGTCCATTTATATGAGGCTCTTGCACCGCGTCTTCTCTCTACAACCCATCAACAACAGCTGCCCATCCCCACCTCCACCCCACCCCCACTGCAGACAGGAAGTCAGGTAGACTTGCTCCTGTCTCCCCCTCTGACAGCCTGATCCTCTAATGCGGGTGACAACAAAGACATGCCTTTTCTCTTTCTCTTTCTCACAGTGCAGCCCCAGTTCTCAGGCAGGACATCCCTGGATGCTCATGTGTAAAAATGTGCCTGGTGTGTTCTGAAGGAAAGAAAGAAACAAAAGCATTTTTAGAACCACCTCCCATGGGAAAGAAAACTCAGACTATGGAGCTATATGGTTGTTTGTTTGGGTTTAGTTCTTTTAGCAGAATGAACAAAGCGGACCTGGTATGATGGTGCATGCCCACAGTCCCAGCACTCCAGAAGTTCAAAGTCCCCCCTCAAATATGTGGCAAGACCTTGTCATAAATTAAATAAATAAAGGAGAAAAGAAACAAGGCAACAATCCCACTGGGAAAATGTCTCCAATGCAATAAGCTGAGGGATGTGTTTGGATGGTTTTGTGGAGATGGAAGTGGATGGAAGAAATTCCCACTTGTGTATCAGAGGTTCTGTCCCGGCAAGGCTGTGAGCTGTGTGAAGACTATGCTTGGACATGAACGCTGACTCACTCACATCACCCGTGACAACCGCTGCTCTGTGTTTCCAGAAACAACCCTGCAAGTCATATTCTCTAAAATTCAGTAATTAAGCTTCTCGGGTCATTCTCTGGGCACACAGCTTGAACTCCTTTGCTGGGTGGGGTAAGGGGTTACCATCATAAGTATATGTGTGTGATTATATTTACAGGGTGGGATGGGGGTTACCATCGTAAACAAATATATATACATATATGTATGTGTGTGATTATATTTAGAAGAAGATAGCTTGAGGCAGGAGAGTAACATGATGAAGCATCTTTTTGATTAGCAGAGGCTTTGTTTCTGCTTCTTTTCCTGACTATGAAGTCAGAAACCCTATACTCTCTTTCCCCAATACAGACTCAACAGAGTTTCTTTATTTATTTATTTTTCATGGCTCTCAAGTAGCTCATATTGCCCTCTAGAAGGCAATAAATATTTACCCACCTGAACTGCTAGTTTTTCTCACAGACATCTGGTGAGTTTTGTGGACCTCTTAACTACTGGATTTCCATATCAAATGCATTTTCTATTTAAATCTTTTATTTATGATACTTTTGAGTAAATCCAGACCAACGGAATAAACTCTGAAACAGAGATTTTAGCAGAATAATGAAGTTTTTTTTTTTCATTTGTAACTTTCATAGCATGGTTATTTCAATACAGAGGAGACAGGGAGAACAGTTAAAGAGATTGTCTATGGACTCAGAGGGAAGAAAAGAAGAGAAAAGAAAAGAAAGCCTTTAGTTAAGTAGGCACTAAAGAAACATTTCCTCAAACATACAATTTATCCTTCTCCCAGAACAGGAGGAGAATACATGGCCATGCTCTGTAACGAGGAGAATCTGGCAAGTAGTTGCTGAGAAACTTATCTTTGGTTTCCTTTCTCAGAAGCCGCTGATGTTTCAGTGATAAGGTACAGGCACTGGGAAAAATGTCCTCCACATGCATTCCTGTGGGATCTAAAAGAATACACTCTTGGAGCCGAATATCAGGTTTGTCGAGCATTACACAAAATGGACGCTATTCTAGCTTCATTTCTGTTGCTGTGATAAAATACCCTGGCACACAGCAGTGTAATGAGAAAGGGTTTGCTTGGCTTACATTTTCAGGTCACAGTCCATCATTGTCAGG